GGCAATGGAGCCTTTTTTTGGAGCCATTGTGTAACGTCCCCCAAAATTACCAAACTTGTGGCAGAAGACTTTTAATCTGATATAATAAATTTCCTAGTGATTTTGAGGAGTGCTACTACTAAACTTAGTACCAATACGTAATAATTTAATCTTTTTCATTTTTTAAATAAAGCCATATGTATGAAAATGAATCTTATTTTATTTCATAACAATATTTATTCATATGGTTACATAGTCAGGATCAAGCATTTCAGTATGATAAAATTTCCCTTTTGACCTTTTGACTTCGATGTCGACCGATCTCAGTATAATCTTCATATTTTGCAGTACATTCTGATATCAAAACAATTCAAAAATGACCGCCACGTCCCAATCAGGAATTGTATGATTCTAAGCTCATATCCTCAATGACTGTCAAATTTAGGTTCTTTCTAGGTCTAGTGAAATTTTACGTTACCTTTTCTAATTTCTCCCATAACCTCTGAAAAATTTGGGTTTTACTAAGTCATTTCTTATAGTATCATCAACTTTTGTCTTAATAGGATATGACTATTTTTGCTTTCTGGACACCTAAAATCATTCTAACATATTCTAAAACTAACAGATTCATCTTAGCTAAATGTTGGTTTCTGAATCGAATTCGGATGTGAAAGCGTGGGGATAGCGGATCAAGTATAACAAAAATTTTCATAAAACCTTTGAGATACTCTATAGATTATATTAATTTATGCACGAATAAATTAGTCACATTAATTCATTTATTAAGAACTCAATTACGAATAATACCTGGCGGTCGATTAGGATGATAACTTGAGTTCTTTGACCTTGAACAATCCTTGCTCCAAAGCCTTGTGTTTAGAAAACCAATGTCTTCCATGTCAATTCCTAGAATCCATGAAAACGTGTGTGTGGGCACACCTGAGACAAAACTGGTTAGAATAAACACTCGAATTTTCACAAACACCAACACATGCACGATGTGAAATTTTTGGAGAAAATTTTTTTTCCTCTCACTCTATGGAGAATTTCGGTCATCCTTTAAAAATTAGGTCAAAAATTATGTCTCACAATTTTCTATTATTCTCTTATTTATAGAGTAGGAGTCAAACTTCTAGGAGGAATCCAATCTCTATCTCCAAGATAAAGCTAGTTGATTTATCTCTTATTTGAATTTGGAACAAAATCTCCTCTTATCCTTTATCTATTATGGCTGGCCATTCATTGGGGATTTTATCCCTATGTAGGCGCCAATATCAGATAGGAAAGGAAGAGAAAATCATCCTTTATCATGCAGTCAAATTTTGATTCAAATTCAAATTCGAATTTAAGTCAAACTTAAATTAATTTGAATTCTAAATTGAACAACTTATCAAATAAGTTTAAAATGATAAATTGAAATTATGTTCGCAATTCAAATTTAAATTTAAATAATCACATTATTTAAATAATAATTAATTCTCAATTAATTATTTTTGAGTGTTTAATTTTAGAATTTCGTAATTTTAAAATTCCCATTTTTGCCCTTTGTGTCTGGTAGAATTACAAGGACGACGTGGGGACTAATGGACCTATAATCCCGAGCTCTAATAAAATTAATAATTAATTAAACACTTTAATAAATTAATTAATTCTATTAATTCCAATAGTTATTCCACTATAAACTTGGAATTGCACTCTCGAAATTACAGACATAAATTACTTCTAAACTGTGAAGTGTCCATTTGATATAGTCACTGCATATAGATCAATCCTCCATAAATAATTCATAATTAGAGCTAGGTAGAATCCGTTTACCTCTCTAATTATATCTTCATCCTTGAATACCATTGATTCTCTAATGGATAGTGATTCATAAAACACATTCATGAACCAGAGCGCTCTTACTAATCCAAATACTGAATCAACACTCAAGATAATTATTTATCTGCTTCTTTCTCAAGAAGGAATAGATTTCATCTCGTATAATAACTTTTCCGGCTACCTATTTCATCATGTCTCCAAAATACAAGGAATGTGATTCATGGTCTCAGAATCCGTACCAAGTAAATCAAAAGACACAAATCCATAAATAAGAGTTTGTTAAGAACTCGGGATTAAGGTCATTCTATATATGACCATCGGTGGACTCAATTAGAATTTCAATACTTAACAGAAATTATTAGAAATTCATATTGTGTCTGTGTCCCTGTTCCACATAATCTCAGTATGCATAATACACTCATTCAATATCTCGCTATATTAACAGTGCGGATAATACCGTTCCATTCTAAATGGGAATAACATGTATTAATAATGTTTTAATTAAAGATTCTAAACTTTAATTAAATTCATTACGAACATCTCTTTTTGATTATTATCCTTAAACATTATCCTATCATATATAACACTTATATACAATGTTTAGGGTCACATAAATAATCATGGAATTTTCATTGATATCCATAAAATATTCACAAATATATACACATAAAATGATAAATAAACCATTTTATTAAATAAATAATAAATATCTTATCACATCTCATGCTTCTAGGACACCATTTCCAACAATAAATTTTATTATTTCTATTAGTTATTTGATAAGGTGGGTGTTATACGTTCTCACTGGTCTTCACATATTTCTGACATTGAGGGATTCGATCTTGTTAGGTTGATCTTTTGGAATCTTTATGGATGTTTTAATGTTTTTATGGTTTTTGTTTATGTTTATATTGTGGTAATGTTGATGGTTTGTCCATCTCTCGGCGTTTTGTCTCAGTTAGAGGGTGGTCTCCCCACCACTCTATGTCCGTGGTGTGTCTCTCAGATAGAGGATAGTCTTTCCACCCTTCTAAGACTGAGTTGTGTGATTTGGATCTATTGTTGGACTAAAATGCGGCTCATCTTGAATCATTTCTATGTGGTCGAACCTTTATTTTAATGCCAGTTTGTGGATGAGTCCTCTCTATTTTTATGATAAGGATGCGTTTATATTATCTAATCATGTGAGTGACATTTCTATGTGCGTTTATATTATCGCAAAAAGCATGTAAAACAACAAAATTTAAAAAATTTAAAATTATCAGCGATTCTTTGGTGCTGCATATTCCTGATAGAGCCCTAGATAATGATACAAGAGAAAAAGTGTCAAACATCAAAGTAGCAGCTCTAGCAACTCAAGGTGTCTCTGAGCTTATAAATTTTATGGCTATCTCCAGTGCAAATGCTAATATCAATTGTATATTTGGCACTAAAAAGTATGATATGATATGTAAGTTTCATTTGTGTTGTATAATGCTATTTAAAATACTAACTCTACTTGTTCGTATAATTATTGAGCTTTGAAAGTTATAAAAGTTAATTTTTATTATTAAAATAATTAAAAATGTAAAAGTTGCAATACATTACATGAAGTAAACAACTTCAACTTATAACAATCAGATGCTAGAGTTACAATATGCTATTTTCGGTGAAAATTTTCTGCAAAGTATATTATATGACAAGTTTGGCACAACAAATAACACGATATTAGAGAGTACTTTTTACACATAAATGTTATATTTGTAATTGACACATCAATTATAATATTGCATTAAAAATGCTCTGAGGTTGCAAAAAAAAGAGATATATATAAATTTGTATTCTTGCTCTGATAGAGTCGCAATCTTATCTTTTCTCTGAACGCTAGCAATAACACTATTTATGCTGCAACTTGATCATTGATACAGAGATATATATAGTAAATTTCCTAGTGATTTTGAGGAGTGTTACTACTAAACTTAGTACAAATACGTAATAATTTAATCTTTTTCATTTTTTAAATAAAGCCATATGTATAAAAATGAATTTTATTTTATTTCATAACAATATTTATTCATATGGTTACATAATCATGATCAAGCATTTCAGTATGATAAATTTTGCCTTTTGTCCTTTTGACTTCGATGTCGACCGATCTCAGTATAATCTTCATATTTTGCAGTACATTCTGATACCGAAATAATTCAAAAATGACCTTCATGTCCCAATCAGGAATTGTATGATTCTAAGCTCATATCCTCAATAATTGTCAAATTTAGGTTCTTTCTAAGTCTAGTAAAATTTTACGTTACCTTTTCTATTTTCTTCCATAACCTCTGAAAAATTTGGGTTTTACCAAGTCATTTCTTATAGTATCCTCAACTTTTGTCATAATAGGATATGACTATTTTTGCTTTATGGACACCGAAAATCATTCTAACATATTCTAAAACTAGCAGATTCATTTTAGGTAAATTATATTGTTTCTATTAGTTATCTAATAAGGTGGGTGTTACACGTTCTCACTGATCTTCACATGTTTCTGACATTGAGGGTTTCGATCTTGTTAGATTGATCTTTTGAGATCTTTATGGATATTTTAATGTTTTTATGGTTTTTCTTTATGTTTATGTTGTGGTAATGGTGATGGTTTCTCCATCTCTGGGCGTTTTGTCTCAGTTAGAGGGTGGTCTCCCCACCACTCTATGTCCGTGGTGTGTCTCTTAGATGGAGGATAGTCTCTTCACCCTTTTAAGACTGAGTTGTGTGATTTAGATCTATTGTTGGACTAAAATGTGGCTCATCTTGAATCATTTCTATGTGGTCGAATCTTTATTTTAATGCCAGTTTGTGGATGAGTCCTCTCTATTTTTGTGATAAGGATGCGTTTATATTATCTAATCATATGAGTGACACTTTTGATTTTGGTGTTATCTTGTATTCTAACCGTTTTGCTTTTTAATGAATATATTTCATTGCGGTTCAAAAAAAAGTATATATGTAATAAATAATTGGTTGCATTGCTTCCACCAATGTCCAAAATCCTGCTCGTGTCTAATTTTTCGTATTTTTAGTAAATTACGTGAACCGTCGGATGCTTTTAAACGAGTGGCCATGAATCGATAAACATTTTAATCTATGTACTCAATCTCATCCGTCCAGTTACCAATATGCCATCGTAGCCGTTCAATTTAGACTTTTAATTCGTTTCATCCCAACCCTAAAAGTCTTCTCTGCAAACTCTAGGGTTTTGTGTCTACTCTCTGTCTTCGTCTCAGCAGATCTCTCCGGCCTCCACTCGTCGGTCCTCTTTCAGGTACACCCAAAAACTCCATTGTCATTTAACAAAGCTTCTCTTCTTTGTACGTAATCATCCTTTTAAATCTGAAAATTTGTATTTTCTCCCATTCTTTTCTTCATACATGATTTGAATTTGTGAAAAATTTGGGGTCTTTTTTTTTAATTATTTTTTGTTGTGCATGCTTTGAGATTGATTTGCTATACTTTGATGTGTTCCGTTATTGTTTCTTGTTTTAAGTTCTAAGTTTTCTTGAATTTTCTTACTCGTCAAACAGCTGAGAATGAACCCTCTTAACTGGGTAACTATAACGAATCAACTGCGTCAGTGAAGTTATAATGAGAAGCTCATTTTGTTCCTTTTGATATTCATTTGCTTTATTTCTGTGTATTGCTTACATTTTTTTTTAAAACTTTAATGAGCATTGTTTTCATATTTTAGTTTACTTTCTTTATACTTGTGATTTTTGAGGAGTTTTCAGTTATAAATGTATTGGGTTTTCTAGAGTGGAAATTAGATTCTCGAATCATCTGTCTTTTTATTCATGTTCATCCTTCAGAATATGTACCTCTCTCAGCTTGTAAAACTGTTTGTAGATTCCAAAGTAAATATTCCCTCTTATGTTTTCTTGGGCGTCCTTGCATTTTTTTAAATTAATTTAGGCTTTGCAAGATGTTTACGTCAAGGAAGAAGATTCACAAAGACAAGGATGCCGAACCGACTGAATTTGAGGAGTCGGTAGCGCAGGTGTGTAAGTCAGTTGTTTGATGTGCATTCTTAAGTCTCGTGAAATTGTTGTACAAATTATTACTAAATTGATCCTGTTCTGTTTATCTGAAGGCTATATTTGATTTGGAGAATACCAACCAGGAGCTGAAAAGTGACCTGAAGGATCTGTACATAAATTCGGCCATGTAAGAATGTTGATTAGATGACTGAATTGGGTATATAATATTGTTATTGTTTGCTAAATGAGTCGTATTATTTACTCTGTTGCAGTCAAGTTGATGTCTCTGGTGGCCGGAAGGCTGTTGTCATTCACGTCCCGTACAGGCTGCGAAAAGCTTACCGCAAGATCCATGTTAGGCTTGTGAGAGAGCTTGAGAAGAAGTTTAGCGGCAAGGTGATTAATGTTTTATGTTCTTTGATTATAGTGAAAATTGTTTGATTTTTGCGGTGGGAAGACTTATAGAAGCATCGATTCAGGTCTATTGTCCAACGGGAATTAATTTATGTGTCATTTTCAGTTCTCTGCCTAGCAAGTGGCAATTTAAGAAAACTTTTGACTCATTTGTCTGACTTTAGATTTTACTTTGGATTCTTATAAGTTGGCTTTATCGCTCTATTCTCTTGGTTTCCGCTAAGCTTGTCTCACTTTTACACGAAGCATCACGTTTTTGGTTCACTACATGGGAGAGAACCTTTTTTTGGGAAGATAGTAATTAATGACTAGTTCTTTTTATACACCATGCAATACATGTAGATATTCATATGTGCATACTTTTATGACTTTCTTTTCTAACTAAGCTTTATGACATTGATGTTTATGGCCTCTAATGTTATAGGATGTTATCCTGATTGCCACAAGGAGGATCTTGAGGCCCCCAAAAAAGGGCTCTGCAGCTCAAAGGCCCCGCAGCCGTACACTTACTACTGTCCATGAGGCAATGCTTGAGGACGTTGTATTGCCTGCTGAGATTGTTGGAAAGCGTGTCAGATATAGTCTAGATGGCTCCAAGATAATGAAGGTAAACTATTATAGTTAATGTTGGAGGGTTTAAGCAAAAAATATATTATGTTCTTGTGTTCTCTCTTCATATGTTATGATGCTTATACGTTTTCTTTGTTACTACAATAACTTATTGGTATTTTCTATTTTACTTCACTGACGTTTTGTATTCTCCGCACTCAGGTTTTCTTAGATCCTAAGGAACGGAACAATACAGAGTACAAGCTTGAGAGTTTTTCTGCAGTTTACAGGAAGCTTTCAGGCAAGGATGTTGTGTTTGAATATCCAGTAACTGAGGCATAGAATGGTGTGATGTGAACTTTGAGATATCTTTTTTTACAGAGCTGCTTTTTAGTGGGCGTGCACTCCAAAATTTTGGTTTGGACTTCCATTAGAGAAAAACTTGCCGATGGATTTTTATTTTGTTCTAGTCGACTGTACCGATGTTGAACATTGTTTTTTCGATGTAGGGATAATCATATTTCGGAGATAATTTATCGTTGTGAATCACATTTATGAATCTTTCTTTCTATTTTTTAAGCATGTTGCACCATCTGCAAACAGTTGGCATGCATGATATAATAGCATTCCCTCGAATTGCTTGTTGGAATTTAAAATGGAAAATAGGTTATCATTTTCAAGACGCCTTCTAACATGATTTCTAATTTGTTATGTTCTTTTTCTTGGGCGTGAAACAATTTTTTTTTTTTTTTTTTTTTCAATCTATTGTTTTTTTTTTTCCAAAGGTTGATATTCATTTGATCGGTTGTTTTTTTTCCTTTTTGATATAGCTTTACGAGATAAGTTGGATTTATTTCACTGGGTCTGTTTAGTTTACTGATTTGAGTTGATATGTGATTTTATGTGAGTTTTTTTACTGTAGTAAAAAAGTTAAATATGACTGAGAATTTTTTACTGGAACGAATCTTTGGCTAACCAATTATATCTATTATTTTGTAATTAAATTAATAAGTAGATTTATTTCATGATATTAAATTCTTTTAGCAGTTGTATGGTAAATTTTTATTTATTTTAAATAGCTTTAAGATATGATATTTATTTAATTTAATTTTAAAAATCTGTTTCTTACAATTTTTGAGAGGAAATACAACCTTTATGCTATGCTTGGTAGGAAAGAAAGAAAGCATGATAGAAAAGAAATATGAAAGTGATGGATAATAGCAATGATGGAAAAGAAATTGCTTTTCTTTTATGTTGTTTGGTATGAGAAGATGAAAAAAAAAATGAGTTTACCTTCACTTGTTTGATATTGAAAGTTAAATTGAGAGGAAAGAAAAAAATTTACTCATAAATTATTTTTATACTTTTAAATTTTTTGTTTGGATGTTGATGGAGAAAATGGTAGTTTAGTAACTTTGCTCACTTTAATTAGTTTTCATTTTTTATCCCATTTTCTGTCCACTTGTGGAAAGAAGAAAAATGGTGGGACTTATGTATTATTTTTCACTATATTTTATCTTCCTTCTCTTTTCTCTCCTACCAAACAACTTATATTTCTATTTTCTCTCTCAAAATCTCTCCACCTTCTTTCTTCTACTTTTCTTTCCTATCAAACATACTCAGTGTCCAAAAAACGACTTAATCGATTAGCAAAAAAAAAAAAAAAAAAAAATCAACTTAATCGACATTTTGGGCTCAGAAGTGGATAAGAAGCGGATAAACTTGAGTAATAAATGGACAAAAGAACAAGAAATAATTAAACAAAATACCTATTTTCAAAGCCTTGACTCCAAAATGTTAATTTTTAATATTACAGAAATGTCTATTTGTGAATAATAAGACATGAATGTCGGAGATACCCTTATTTGTTATTTTAAGCATGTTCTTTATATGGTGATATTTTTATGATTTTGGGTTGATTTTTTATAACGTATTCTGTTTTGACTTACCATTTTAATCTAATTATTATTCTATAATAACTTTTTTGGTTTAAAACTGATATTATTTTTAAATTATAGATTTTTCATCTTTTTTATTTTTATTTTTATTTTAGACATGAATTTTTCATAATCTTCATGTTCATAAACATCCATTTGCCTCAGTTCTTCTATTGATACATGACCATTGTTTTTTCATGCCTCCTTTATCAATCAACTAATACAAAATCGTTTTGCTTTCGCTCTGCAATGTATATGAAATTGGTCGTATACAGTCTTCTTATAAGGGGAATAGTTTCATTTTTTTTGCTTCTTTTTTTAGTTTCATTTTTAGATTTGTTGGTGAGTCTCTCTCTCTCTCTCTCTCTCTCTCTCTCTCTCTCTCTCTTATTTTCTCCTTTTATTCCTGATGTTGATATTTTTGCTGAGCAGTGTCTTTTTTTTTAGTTCATTTTTTTTTCCTGACGTTGATGTTTTTGGTAAGCATTTTTTCTTTTTCCTTTTTTTGAATTTATATGTAATTTGTTTCACAATGATATCTGCATAAATATAATGAAAATCCTTTTTCTTACGTGAATAGTATATTGATCGTTCTTCCTTTTTTTATTATTATACATTATCTTCTTTCTCATATATTCATTTTTTTACGTTTTTTTTTTTTTTTGCTCTGATTTTTGAAGCTTTTTGACCTATTTTTATGATGCTGCTTGTTTTCACATTTTTTTTTGTACATATTGAACGCTTTTTTTTTAATTATCTGTGTCAATATCATAAAACTTTCATCCTTTATGATAATAAAATTTTTTATTATTTATCATATTTAATACCTCTCAGATTGCTTGCAAAAATTTGTATTCATTCTTTTTCATAATGATATCCATCATTAAAATAATGAAAATATGAGAGATTTTTTTTTTGTTGTTTTTTTTTTGCTTGTCTATAACTTGTTTTATATGTTTATCATAATTTTCTAATTCCTTAATGTAATTAGGTTGACGTTTTAAGATTTTGTTTCCTTTTTTGTGCAAGACTTATTTGGTTTTTATTTGAAAAAAATTGAGTAGGTGTTTTTTCTTTAATTTGTTTAAAGAAAGTTTCCTTTTCTTGAAATAATTTGGTTTTACTAAATTTAATTGTTTGACTTTTGTATTTAAATTTGAATATATATTATGTTCTCTTTCCTATTTTATTGATTCATTAGCTTTTTCCTTTTTTTTTTCCTTAGGTAAGGATATAAACGTCTTTATATATTATATATAACAATAGTATTTTTGTAAATAAAATAATAAGTAGGCATTTTTATATTCAAGATGTTATAACCATTGTTAAGAAAAATGCTAACGACACTATTCATGTTACTCTTTTTATTATTTTATGCTTTTAATGTTTGACACGTGGACTCTACTAATCATTTTTAAAGATCATGAGGTTAAGCCGATTAAAATAAAATATTTTATTTTATTTTTATCTAACAACTATTAAAAGAGTCAAACTCTTTCTCTCCAAGGTTGTCATGTGGCAACCCCTCCCTCTTCCATTTTTTTTCTTTTTTTTTTACTCTTCTTTACTTTATCTTCATCTTCATTCTTTTTTTACTTTTTTTAAATATTTTGTTTTTATTTTTTTTTATTTTGTGAATTTTCTTTGATAGTTTAATTTTTTACCTGTGTTCTTAAAAATATATTGTTTCACTTCACTGTTATGAAGCTAATTTTTGTTGCATGTATTTCTATAATTTTTTTATCAATATTAAAATAACTTTCTTTAAATACTTCCATACTTAATTGTTTTTCATGTAAATTCCTATCATATCAAAAATTAACTTTACACATATATTTTATATTAAATCGTCTTTTTCTAATTTAAAATTATGCATATCTTTTTTATTATTAAGTGTTTGAAATAAAAAATGAGTATTATTTCAATTAAAATTTTAGAAACTTATTTTCAAAAATATTCAAAAATCCTTAAATAGGTTTATAAATAAATTTATCATGGTATGATAAATAATAAACTCTTCAAGTGTTTCTGACACGATAATACGTGCCAAGTACATTTCAAAAATTAAGAGTGCGTTTGGTTCAAGGATTCGTGTCATAGTTCGAATCATGGTTCGTGACTCGCTACAGTGTTTTCTCTTATAAAAAACACACATAAATCAAAAATAATTCTGAATCCATCAACCAAACATCCTCTAATTTTATCAGAAAACAAACACTAGGAAAGTAGAAAATGATAAGATGTTTGTAATCAGGACGGGAAGTCGAGGTGGCAAAATTTGGAACCAATCGGTTCTAATATTCAATAAATTTAGGAAAGTTAGCATGTGCTCGTACACTTTTTGTTTTCTGTTTCTTTTATTAGCCATAAGAAATAAATGAATATGTTATTTTAGCCAAAAAAAAAAAATAGAGAGAGAAGAGCAACACTCTGATTTGAGGACTCTTCCATTGTAGAGTTTTTAAGGGCGCGTTTAGTTCGTTGAATCGAGTTTTTAATTTGAGTGATATGTGAATTTATGTGAAAGCCTTTTACTGTAGTAAAAAAGTTAGATGTGATTATTTCTGAAAGCTTTTTATTGTAACAAAACTCGAATTTTAAACTTAAATCGGTGAAATGAATGAGGCTAAACAAGACTTGCCTTCTCAACATAGACAAAGGGAACAACGTATTCAATGCATAATATTCATTGTTGAAGGTTTGCATCTCTTTTTTGAGGGAACAAAATCAAACTAAATAATCACTCTCAAGTAGATATGATAGAGGCCAAAAAAATTCTGCTTGTATGGTGGTGTGAACTGAGAAAGTGAGAATAGCTATGAGCTCTAAGTCCATCTATATCTTGATCTTTATTTTCATCTTCTTCGTCGTCCAACATTCAGGTCAGTTTGAAAATACACATAATTCTTATATATACCCCAATAACCTTTTACTCTAAAAGTTATATATATATATATATATATATGTTCATAGAATTCTAGGTCAAATAGCTGTGAAAATATGAAAAATAATGGAAACTTTTTTTAAAAAGAGTTATTATCACGGATACCTCTTAAATTTTAGAATCATTTTCAGTTTGTCTCTTAAATTTTAAAAATTCTCACTTTTCCTCATAAATTTTAAATTATTTCCACTTAACACCTTCTATTGTAATTTCTATTAAAAATAGATAGAAAAAAGAGAATAACGCAGAAAAACTCACTTTTCCTCTTAAATTTTGAATTGTTTCCACTTAACCCCTTCTATTATAATTTATATTAAAAATATATAGAAAAAAAGAATAACGCAGACACGTGGTCTTTCTATTTGGATTTTTATTAAAAAAAATAGATAAAAATCATATGACCACACTATAGATAGAAAAAAGAGAATAACACAGACACGTGGTTTTTCTATTTAGATTTCTGTTAAAAAAAAGATAAAACCCATATGATCACACTTAATCCCTTTTTTCTGTCTGATTTTGATAAAAATTACAACAAAAAATGGTTAAATGAGAACAATTCAAAGTTTAGGAGGAAATGTAAAAATTTTAAAAGTTTAAAGGACAAATTAAGAATGACTCCAAAGTTCAAGGACACCAGTAAAAATAATCCTAAAAAAATATAAATATTAGCGGCCTTGTATTTTTATTTTGATATATTTTATGTTTTATTAGCGAAA